GTGTATTCAAAAGCAAAGAATAAAATATGAAAATCTAATTAAATAAATATGTTTTTATATATAATTACAAATAAATAAAAACATGACATATATAGAGTATTTAGTTGCAAATTATCAGTGAAACGTATGTAAGTGTGTGATATCTCTAATTTACACCATCTTAGTAATATTTTTTAATAAACAAAACAACACACAAATTAAATTTTGTTTAAATAATTAATTATCATTGTAAGATGTTTGTCACAAAATTTAGAATTTTTATATTTCATTGTTGTTAATTTACATGAAAAGACGAAACATTTTTAATTGTCATGACCGATCGAAAAAAATATATTATATGTAATTTAATATTGTTTTAAATAACAATTTGTTTAAAAAGTATATAAGTTATAAATACAAAACAAACAAAATTTACTTAACAAAATGAATAAATAACAAAAAATTTGAATACCATAAACAAATTGAATTATACTGACTTTTTTTTATTCTTTTTGTGTTAAATATTCAACAAGAAATATGATGATTTTGATAGACTTCAATATAAATAAAAACATATTTAAAATAAAGAACTTACAATTTTTACAATAATTGGCTTTATATTATAAATATATCAAATTCAATATTGTAAAATTGACCTTTTTATAAAAATATTTTTGTTAAATATAATTATATAGAAATTAAGTCAATTAAAAATTACCTTTGTTGTTTGTTACAAATAAAAAAACACACAATAATCATTTTTGTGTTTAACAATACATTAAAATACTAAATGAATTTTTAATTTCACATTTTAACTTCATTAATGAATAGAATTGTATTTGTTTATAAGAGCGCAAAATAATAATTTTTTAAAAAATAAAAAAAACAATTTAAACTTTTTATTAATTGAAAAGATATTGTGTCAAAATAATATATGCAAATAATTTTTGTATTATTTAAGTTGTTTTGATTAATTTTAATTTCTACACTAAAAATATTATTTAATTTCATCAACATTGAAAAACCAAATCTTTTAAAATAATTATAAGATTAAGTAAAATATTTAAAAAAATTAAAATACAATCGTTATTGTACAAACTTCAAAATTAATATAGAACAATATCTAGTGTGATCATTTAAAAATGCTTAAACATGAATACGAATATTTTAATGATACACAAATTTAAAAAGATTTACGTATTTATTGATATACACAAATTGTTAATTGTTGTTAATCTTAATTATTTAATGTTTGTTTTGTGATCTAAATTGTCATTTTTACATGGCACAATTTGCACATAATTACTATGAATCAAATTAACATTTACCGTGTGCATTTTTAAATAAATTATATTTTAATAA